AACTGGGAGAATCCCATTGCACAGGGGTCTCCACTACGGCCCGCGGGCCACCTGCAAATACAAATATTGTATTTGTTCCCGGTTTGTTTTTTTTATTTCCAATAAGATATGTGCAGTGTGCATAGGAATTTGTTCATAGTTTTTTTTTAAACTATAGTCCGGCTCTCCAACCGTCTGAGGGACAGTGAACTGTCCCCCTGTTTAGGAGGTGTGAGGACCCCTGGTCTAAGCAGTTTACACTACTAACTTGTACTAGCAAACCTTACAACCATTGTACTGTTAGTATCTCTGGTTTACAAATGAGAAAACTGAGGAACAGAGAAGATAAATCACTTCCTCAGAGTCACACAGGTAACAAAGTAGTGGATCTGGGATTCATCCCAGGTGATGGGGCTCTAGAGACCCCCCTTATGGACCACTGTGCTAATACTCCCTGTAGTGTAGCCTGTGGCCTCTGTGATGACCGAGCATCATTCAGAACCTGAGTGTTTACTGGGCATGGCCCGGAGATTGCCCATGGACAGAGTGCCTCAGGCCGCTCTTCAACCTCCATTTCTTCTGCCACCTTAATGGTGTCATTATCCGCCCACCTACCAAAGCCAGGAATGGAAGGATCACCCTTGACCACATCCACTCTCCTGCTCTGCTCTCCTCAGCCTGAGTCCCCACCCTGCCCCACCATCACATCCAGTCAGGTTATCAAGTCCTACGGGTCCTTCCACGAAAGCCCCTGGGTCCTCTCCCTGCTCTACACTAGTGCCTTGGTCAAGACCCTCAGGCTGGCTCGCCCGGGTTCCGTTTTCTTTACCTGCTTGTAAACAAATCTCACAGAGCTCACTTAAATATTTCATAAGCCTTCGCAAGATGCAGTGTAAGTGGTTTCATCGCCTTTAAATATCCCTCCCCCAAATATTCATTATGTAAAGCCGAGAAGACATTCTGATGGCCTTGCAGTTCTTCTGGGATGGTCTCCAGAGTCTTCTGAGAGCCTGCCTTGTATGGCCCGCCTCCCCATTCTGCCAGGTCAGCCGATTCCAGAACTAGTGCTCCAAAACCCTAGTCTGCTCAAGGTCTTCTCCTCTTTCCCTAAAATCATTTTTAAAAAATAGAGGCCCGGTGCATGAAATTTGTGCACTCGGGGGGGGGGGTCCCTTAGCCCGGCCTGCGCCTTCTTGCAATCCAGGAGCCCTCAGGGGATGTCC